CTGGCGGGGAACTGTCATATCGAGGGAATACCTGCGGTTCCGGGCATTCATCGTCAGTATCTGAGGCCGCACCCAACACCGGCACCGGGCCCTGAAGAAGAAAAGAGAGGAGGAACCACCATCCTAGGTATGATCGAGTCGTCAGGCTGCGTCCGACGGCAGGACTGACCACACTGGCAAATGCTGCAACTGACGGCTGGTTCAGAACCCCATTGATGCGTGCCTGGAGGCCACGCGTGGCATCGCAGGCGAAGGCGTCATGGCCTTCTTGGAAAAGGTGCCCACACTCACCAGCCAGAGAGGACACCTCACCGGGCCATTTCCAAACAGCCAACTGCCCGTGGATCTCAACACCTGGCAGGTCCCACGTGGTGAGCCCTCCAATGGACATAACCTCGGGCCATTCCACCGACAGCGTGCAAGCAGCTCTCACCCATTCTCCGATTCGGATGGCCCAAGGAAAATGGCCTTCGCTGCAAGGAACTCTGCAACTAACCCCAAAGTGAGGGCATTCAAGCAGTCGCATGGGACCTGACGAGAAATGTCCCGGTACTGCAACGCAGCCCTTAGCTGGACGACGTTTAACCAGTGCTTTCGTTGGTGCCGGTCGTGCATGAGCTGGCCAGTGCAGAGGGAAAGTTTGAACTCCCTGTTCAACCCGGGAACTCGGAAGAACTGGCTCCTGGAAAGCTTCCGGCTGTAGTGCAGCAAGGGCTAGCTTCCTAGGGGCTTGCTGTTGGGAGAGGCGCCATCCTGCATCAGACAAGCGACAGAAGTCCAATCCAAGCTGAAAGAAAACGAAGGGAAAACCTGAGCTGACTTGTGCCGCCGAAAGCGCAAAGTGCCGCAAAATGGTTGGCTGTTGGTCTAAGACCGCGTTCCAAAAGGGCGACCCCCGAATGCTTGACAAAGGAAGCTCCTCAGAGACTGGGGCAGACACAGTGAGGACAATCGGGAGGACCCCGCAATCCAAAACATCGGTGAGCAGAACTGTGAGCGTGCTGTGCGTGCGCTCAATAAGACAGAACAAGTCGACCGCAGGCGCAGAAAGAGGCAGTCTAATGAGGCAACTTGTCCCACAACGATGCTCACCGTACCAAGACTGCAGAGCTGACTCAAGACGGTACTTAGTGAATCCTTTAGGGACTTCAACCAGAAGCAGGCCTTGGTCGGCAGACGTGATAAACACCTCAGTGTGCGGAACAAGCCAACTGGTCGCTGAAAACGTGGGCATCGGTACAGACGAAGCCCCAACGTCTGGCAGGTTAATCTTATCATCACTATGCGCCACGACAACATCTCCATGTCGCAATGGGTGAGGCGCCCCTTCATCAAGACGAAAGCTTCCTCCCGGGAAAAGCAGTATCAGCGCCTGCAGAATGGAGGGCCCAGGGTTGGAGCGGACCACATCCAGACAGATCAAGGGTCCGCCAGCGTCAACAAGCACAGTAACATACTGCAAACTGCGCGCTGGGGAGATGAATCGGACACATCGGTCAAATCCAGAAGGTTGAACCAAGATCGGGAAACCCCGTCCCAACAGGCCCCCTGCTCTGAGTAACACGCTCTTCAGGACGTCTGCTCCTCGGTCACCCGGGAAGAGGAACCAAACAGAATCGCCGGGCGATGCTACCTGAAAGTAGTAGTGTGAGGCAGGGGCAGTTGCTAAATTCTGACTCCGGCTCCACTCAGCAGAAGCCCATTCACGGGACGCGCTCAGTCTCTGGGCGAGGCGGTGGTGCGCGCCAACCCCGGCTTCCGTGTCTAATGGGATCCTAACCTGTGCATCCTCAGACTTGCGATGGAGGGCAATCCCATCGGCGGGCGGATCGGAGTCCGGTATCAGAAAAGTACCCCAGCTGACGCGCAACCCGAGAAGCAACAAGGCAGCCGAACGAACGCCATGCCTCGTAGTAACTGCCAAGAGAACCCCAAAATTAATGGCCGAGCGCCCACTCGCCGAAGAACCGCCGCTGGCCGAGCACGGCGAAGCTCCTGGAAGGGTCCGGCGACGTAAAACCACAAGAGGGGCTGGTGCATTTGCTTCGAGAGGCTTATCAGGATCCACCGAGTGTTCACGGTGGAGCACCATTAAGCTGCCCCGGGCAAGAAGCTCAGCAAGCTTACAATCCGGTACTGGTTCTCCGGATGTAGCCACAGCCATTGCAAGGCGTGTTGCAGGGCTCACCCCGGGTTGGTAAGGAAGCACGGCAAGCCCCGCACCAAGTGGTCGGAAATCGATAAGGCCCGGGAGACAACCCTCAGGACATTGTAAGGCAACAAATTGCACCGCAGGCAACTGCTCCAAAGGAGGGAGGACCCGAGCGAAATGGCTAAAAGTAGCACCCCCGCACGTGACATCCGACATGAAAGCTCCCATCACAGTTGAACGAATGGAAAGATGGTCCGCAAACATCGGGGCGAATGTAAAAAACAGCCCGTTGGCATATAGAACCACCGCATTGACCCCAGTTTCGGAATGAAATGCAAGCTCCGCGGGTCCTGGCAGCGAAAGGCTCGTGGAAAACACGTCCTCTAGAGACAATCTAGGGGACAGAGAGCCATGACGAGAGGGTGGGACAGATGGAGGAAGACGCACCGTAGGCCACACTTGCAATGCGTCTCCTTGCGGGAGCAAAAGCACATACGCCTGGGGAACAAACCAAGCATTTCCCAGCCGACATAGGCAGTTGTTCACATCAACGTGTATGCCTTGCTGCACAGCCGCGTCCCGGATTATCGCTGCGCCTGGCTGGTGTCGGAAGGTGTCTAAGAGCGAGACAGAGCCGCCGACAGCACGAAGGTCAACAGGAACACGGATCCGGAACCACGGGAGGGTGAGCTCGGTAAGAACGTACTGCTCCGGTGGGAGTGAAGGCAGTGTTTCCACCTGGCGGCGCCAACTCCATTCCGCTGTCTGCAGACCTAGTGCAGAGCATACCTGTCGGAACAGAAGGGCCCCGTGGGTACGGTCATCAACATGAAGGACCTGAGGGCAGTGCGCCAAAGACGGGGCAAAGACCCCGATGTCACGCATTGGTGCTGGAACCTGCTGCAGGACCGGTTCGACACAAGGACCACCCGGAAAACGCACTGGAGCAAGGGCTGACGCGTCCACAACAGCGGGAACCGACCCTGTTGAAAAGACTGGCTGGCCCCGCGCAGCACTGACCGGCCAAATCTGAACCGATTGAGTCGGGGTGCAGCAAAGCCATAAGAGTAAGTAGACCCGTAGCTGGCGCGAGCTCGGGCAAATCTTAAATGGCGACCTGCTGCCGTAAAGAATCCATCTTGCTGCAACACTGACGGCCGTACCAACCCATGGCGTGGACAACCAAGTACCCAACAAACCGGATCCAAGGCGCCAGACGGGACCCCATCGGAGGGCCAGAACACTCCGGAAAAGGCCGTGAAGCTCCTGCCAAGCGCAAGCAGAAGAGCAAAGAGTGCTGTGAGGAGCAGGCATGCCGACTTTGTCGGAGTTGTCAGGCCGACCCGTCCATTGCCGTCCGCCGAGAAATCCCTCCAGGAGCAACAAGGCCAAACTCCATGGAAGAAGGCAGAAAAGGGCGAACCCTATTACCCAAAAGGGACGAGGCCAATCAAAGGTACCATGGGGCCTATTCTTTAGGGCTCGACTTGCCGGGCAGTTGTGCCACTCAAGAATGGGCAGGGTTGTTGCAACAGTGCACGCACTTGGGGATCCTCTGCAGGTTCCACAGCAATATACCCTTTGAAGGGACCTCCGCGTTCGGTCAGCAGGGTAGGGTGCAGCCACTCCTGCAGAGTAGCGGGTGCGTAACTGTAAGGGTCGAGGAGCCCTCCTACAGTTACATGCGCTGCGACGAGAAGGCCTTGGGGCAGGTGGCTGACAACACCTGCACACGAACGGACAAGAGGCAGCAGATCTCGCAGTTGTTGGTATAGACCAGGAAGTGCACCTAAATCCCTGCTTTGCAACACCTGTTGGAGGCATTGCCACACCGCTCCACAGTGTGTCAAGACCTCGCTTTCTTTCTCGGCGTTGTGGACAGGACAGACTATCGCATCTTGTTCGGGGCAAGAAGCAAGTTCGCCCACACGTTCTCCTCCCTGGGAAACTGCAAACTGCAAAAGAGCAGTCCATGCCTGCTCCCAAGTGCGTGGGGGCTCGCGCTCCGCCGGGATCAGCTCCGCTTCGTCTTCCACGGCGGCCAGAAGCGAAGACCTGGGCGCTTTGTCCGGTGTGCGACCTGTCTTCAAGGATGGCCACGGCGTGCCCGTGTCGACCTCCCGACGTGGGCTTTTGGACGGCCTCTCCGTGTGGCCACCACTTCGCTTCCTCCATCTGCCACCTGTAGAAACAGGTAACGCTGTCGCATCTACACCAGCTGGAATCAGAGGCGGCGGCATTGCCGCCGGGGCCCGAACATCCATAGTAGATACGCCAGGTAACTCCGTGGCGAGGATCGGTATGGCTGGATCGCCTGAGCCGTCGAGGCCCAGGAGATCTTCGTCCGTGGCACCAAAGCTTGCCACAGAGCCCACATCCAGATGAGCTCCAAGCCGCACTCCTCCAGTGTCGCCCCAGTGTTGAGGAGAAACCAAGGTGAGTGTAGCATCCGTCGTGCTTGTGCGACCGGAAGGAACACCATCCTCCACAAGCGGCGCTCCTGGTGGCAGCCCTCCAGCGGAGGTTGGCCACGACGTTGCCCATTGGTTGCATTGTAACTGTGCCAAAGGCGCGAAGGCGGGCAGCAAGTTGCAGTACCTCCTGTTCCTGAGGCTCTGACCAGATTGGTCCCACCGCAGCTAGAGCCTTGTTCACCTGAGCCGCTGTGGTCTCCGAGGGCTGCTCGGAAAGGATCTCTCGCATTTCCCTGGCAGCCACGGCCGTGTCGTCGTCCAACCGTTGTCCGATTGCACGGACTTGCGCCAGAAGGCCAAGCATATGCTGGCTGACAAAGCCGAACCAAGCTTGTAAAGCGACGGCCATGTCGACCTTCGCACGCTCGTTGCCGGACAGGCGTTTGGCAAGTTTGTTGGTAAGGTTGGTCCTCCGCTGGAGGTTCTGCTCCGCCGTCCCTGCCAGAAAAGGCACCGGTGCCGCCGTCCATAAGTCTTGCGTGGCCCGTGTAGACAGTGATTGAACCGCCTGCACCACACTCGAGGGTAAGGCAAACTCTATGCGGTTCTGCTGAGGTTGTGGTTGCTCGCCACGACCTTTCTGTTTTCCACCCTGAGGTCTCGATGCCTGCGCATTGGCCGTTGCCTTGGGGGCCATGCTCCCGTGATGGGCCTGCAGAAGCTGGCGCGCTGCCAGCGAAGCCCTGCCTGCCCTCAAAAGTTTCCTCGCTTTCGACCGGGCTCGACGGAGCCGACGGTGCCACGGCGGGCTTGGCGCCCTGCGGAATGGCCTCGTCACCACCGCCGCTGCCGATAAGGATCAGAAAAACCCCTGTTGCAGCAAGGGGAATAAGCGGCCAGTAGGTCCGGCCGTGGAACATGCGACCTCCAGGTCGCAACCACTAAGGCGTCGGCCGAAGCAGCGAAACCAAAGTGGTAAGAATCACTGAAGAGCCTACCAGAGGCAAAGCAGCGGCGCTATGAAGCTGGGGTCGGCTATACACAGAGTTTCGCTGCAACTCACAATTGGAGACGCAGGGCACTACCTGTGCTCGGGCCAGACGCCTTAAACCCAAAACCCTTAATCCTTAATCCTTAGCCCTAAACCCTAAATCCTAAACCCTTAACCCTAGACCCTAAACCCTAAACCCTTAACCCTAAACCCTAAACCCTAAAGCCCAAACCCTTAACCCTAAACCCTTAACCCTAAACCCTAAAACCTAAACCGTAAACCCTTAACTCTTAACCGTTAACACTAAACCCTTAACCCTGAACCCTTAATCCTCAACCGAAAGTTTGAATTCTGAAACCCAGAGCTCGCAACCTCAAGAATCTAAGATTCCGGAAGGCACCAGCGGCGAGTAGGAAACCCTGTTAAATGAAATGTGGACAGATGACTTGAACCCTGAACCTCAAATCCTCAGTCTCGAAACTCCTTAATTCTAAACCCCGAACCTCAGACCCTGGACCCCAAAGCCCAAATCGAACAACTTCAACCTCCCAGCCCAGAACCCAGGAACTCACGAACCTTGTGTCAAAATCTCTCCATGCACAATTTCCGAATCCCGATTCTCCTTTGAAGTTTCATATTACAGGCCTCCACCTCAACGTCCTAAGACATCAACCTAAGATTTCAGATCTCAATGTCCAAGCCGAAAGTCTGAATTCTGAAACCCCCAGTTCGCAGCCTGAGAACTAGAAACATTTGACCCCATCACTAAAATCCCCGCTTCAGGATATTAGGTTTGAAACCCCAATTTCTAATCCTAAGCTCTAAATTCCAAATCTCCCTCTCAACGTCCGAAAACCAGAAGCCCTGGATCTTTTACACCACACCCAGTTTCCTAATTCTGATTTCCGAATCTAAGATTCCAAAAGGCATCAAAGGCCAGTAGGAAACCCTGTTAAATGAAAGGTGGAAAGATGACTTGAACCCTGAACCTCAAATTCCCAGTCTCGAAACCCTTTAAGCCGAAACCCTAAACCTCAGACCCTAAACCCCGAAGCCCAAATCCAACAACTTCAAACCCCCAGCCCGAAACCCGGAAACTCCTGAACCTTGTGTCAAAACCTTTCCATGCACAATTTCTGAAACTTGTATCAAGACCTCTCCATGCACAATTTCTGAATCCTGATTCTCCTTTGAAGTTTCATATTGCAGACCTCGACCTCAACACCCTAACACACCAACCTATGATTTCAGATCCCAATGTTCAAGCCGAAAGTCGGAATTCTGAAATCCCCAGTTCGCAACCTGAGAACTAGAAACCTTTGATTTCATCTCCAAAATGTCTCACTTCAAGATATTAGGTTTGAAACTCCAACTTCTAATCCTAAGCCCCAAGATCCAAACCTTCTTCTCGATATCCGAAAACCAGAAGCCCTGGATCGTTTACATCACACCCAGTTTTCCAATTCTGATTTCCGAATATAAGATTCCAAAAGGCACCAAAGGCCAGTAGGAAACCCTGTTAAATGAAAAGTGGAAAGATGACTTGAACCCTGAACCTCAAATTCCCAGTTTCGAAACCCCTTAATCCGAAACTCCGAACCCCAGACTCTAAACCCCGAAGCCCAAATCCAACAACTTCAAATCCCCAGCCCGAAACCCAGAAACTCCTGAACCTTGTGTCAAAACCTTTCTATGCACAATTTCTGAATCCTGTATCAATATTTCTCCATGCACATTTTCTGAATCCTGATTCTCCTTTGAAGTTTCATATTACAGACCTCGACCTCAACATCCTAAAACATCAACGTATGATCTCAGATCCCAATGTTCAAGCCGAAAATCCGAATTCCGAAACCTCGAATTCACAACCTTCAAGTTCAAACCCCTGCAGTTGTCGATGTTTTCATTGCGCTGTTGCGCAGTCATTGGTCGCGCCGAATTGGGCGGAGGCATGTTTTACTCCGCAAGGGCCTATTATAGCGCAAATTGCGGAGACAAATTGGGCATCCATGACATGGTCGGAATGCCAACTGGTAGTTTGTTTCCCGCATTGAACCGTATGGCGGTTCGTCCCCGAAAAATTCAGGGGGAAGGATTTCAGGTTTTTCCGGCGCTTCCATGTCTGAAAGGCGCAGGCTCACGCAGCTTTGCTGCAGCACATGGCTGTTTCTCCGCCAATCAATCGGCCCGGGCCTTTCAGGCTCAATCAGTGGTGCCTGGTATGCAGGTGAAGGTGCCATGGTAAGGCTTCCCACTGTATCCGGAAGTGGATACGCCTTTTTGTTAATCACCTTAGATATATGCTTGCATTCCTGGAATTGGGTTTAAGATGCACATGTTTATTCCTCCATGCCGCCAAGATGCCATGTACCCCTTCGACTTCTTTGAAGGCACCGTAGCATTTAATGTATCCCAATCCTGAGTTTAAGGGCAGAGTTTGGTATAAGATTTCGGGTTTTACGGTTTTTAGTGTTAGGGACGAGGGAAGCTAAGTTCTGGCTAAGTGGCGGTCACCCCTTGGACACCGCCGTTGCCCTGAGTTGTTTTTTGCTGGTGAAAAAACACTAGCTATTGACTGTAAAAGCAGTTAGTTAAGCCAAGTTGCGTTGGGAGTGTAGGTAATGAGGGGAGGCTGGAGCGCCTTAGTTATAGCATGGTTGAGATTGGGGTTTGATGCATGGTTACATGTTAAGCCAAGCTGCTCCGGCCGCCCTCTTATTGGATGAACCATCGCTCAGGCGCAGAAACATGTCCTTGGTAACAGCATTTAGGGTTAAGTTCAAGGGTTAAGGGTCAAGGGTTCAGGCCAAGGTGCATCCTTCAGCTCGTTGATCGGCTGTGGAGCACGGTCCTTGGTGATTGGTGATGGTATGCTTGAGCGAAGGGTGATATGAAGCTTCCATGAAGTTTTCCCACATGCCGTCCAAGCTGCAGTCATCGCTCTGACGATGGAATATGAAGATGGAATGGATGCAATTGCAAAGGATGCTTGAGTCAGAAATCGCTAAGGTAAGGGCACCTGCAGCTGCAATCCCCTTTGACGACAGGCATGAGGCAACACCCCCAGCAAAAGGCATGGTAGATGAACTTGCAGCTGCGCCCCGATTGGAGAACAGCCACGAGACAACACCAGCGATTTGCGTCATCAATCTCAACTGCAGCCCGTTTGGGCAACACCCACGAGACAACACTTTAGCAAAAGGCATGGTAGATGGACTTGCAGCTGCGCCCCGATTGGAGAACAGCCACGAGACAACACCAGCGATTTGCGTACCCGATCTCAACAGCTTCTTTGTTTCAGGGCAAAGGGCATGGTTGATGAACTTGCAGCTGCGCCCCGAATGGAGAACAGCCACGAGACAACACCAGCGATTTGCGTACCCAATCTCAACAGCTTCTGTGTTTCAGGGCAAAGGGCATGGTGGATGAACTTGCAGCTGCGCCCCGATTGGAGAACAGCCACGAGACAACACCAGCGATTTGCCCATTCCTTCTCGGCAGCTTCCCTGCCTCAGGGCCCTCCGGAAGGGTAGATGACCAATAGTTGCCCTGCAATACAGTGTACTCAGAATTTTTTTCGGGATCTCGTAGCCGAAATCTGTACGGTAAAGAATTTGTAAATATAATTGTGGATGCAATAAAAAATACAAGGCTACGTGCTCGAACGAGTCCGAAAGTGAACTTTAGTGAAAAACCCAATCTTGTTGGCCTCGACTATATTGAATTAAATTTTCTTGGCCCAGATTTTATTGAATTAAATTGCTCCCCAGCCGTGTTTTCGTGTACCTTTCGGTGATTTCCTCTCATTTCGGGCTTTGGCAGGCCCCTTCCGGGAGCCCCGGGCTTTAATCGGGCCTTTAATGGCCCCTCCCGGGAACTTAGGATTCTATGTTTACGGGATTTGGGCTGAACTACTACTACCACTACTACCACTACTACTACTACTACTACTACTACTACTACTACTACTACTACTACTACTACTAGTACTACTACTACTACTACACTACTACTACTACTACTACTACTACTACTACTACTACTACTACTACTACTACTACTACTACTACTACTACTACTACCACTACTACTACTACTACTGCTACTACTACTACTACTACTACTACTACTACTACTACTACTACTACTACTACGACTGCTACTACGATCACTACTACTACGACTACTACTACTGCGACAACTACTACGACGACGACGACTACTACTACTACTACTGCTGCTGCTACTACTACTACTACTACTACTATTACTACTACTGCGACTACTACTACTGCAACAACTACTACGACGACGACGACTACTACTACTACTACTACTACTGCTACAACTGCAACAACTACTAAAACTACGACGACGACTACTACTACTACTACTAGTACGACCACTACTACTGCTACTACTACAACGACTACTACTACTGCGACAACTACCACAACCAACACTACTAAAACTACTACTACTACTACTACTACTACTATTACTACTACTACTACTACTACTACTACTAGTACTACTACTATTACTATTACTACTACTACTACTACTACTACTACTACTGCTACTACTACTAAAACTACTACTACTATGACTACTACTACTGCTACTACTACTACTACTACTACTACTACTACTACTACTGCAACTACTACTACTACTACTGCTACTGCTACAATTATTACTATTGCTATCACTGCCACTGCAATTGATGAGCTCTGATCTGAACATTATCATGGTGCGCAGATGGATGCTGTGCGGCAACGGAGATGCTCCGTATTTTGATCGCCCCGACACGCCTATTTCATCGCCCCGACATCACAATTTTGTCGCCCCGAAATTTCTCTGTGAGCCGAGATTGGCACATTGAAATCTCGGGGCTTGGCGGCCCCAAAGCGCCTTCCAGCAAACCCC